TAAATATATAATTTATTTTACACTAACTAAATAAATCAAATATATGTGTATTTTTTGAAAATTTATTCGGATGTTTTTTAAATTTATTTTGAAAAGTATATCGGATTGGATATTCCAAACATTTTTCATATAATTCCAATTCCAATCCAAAAAAAATAAAAACATCGGAAATTATAATTTCAAGAATTGAAATAAAAAAATTGTTCCAAAATTAAAACTTTTTGGATCGAAACCGGTAGAAATTGAAAATTATGTTCCAACTTTCACCCATATCTACATTTATCACTATCTCTTGAAGGGTATTATTTGTATAGTTATACTTGTTTTAATTTGTTAATACAGTATTATTCAATATTTGTTTATTTAAATTAATAATTTACTATACCCTTTATATGGGCGACTAAAACAAATATCGTTTATTTTTCATTTTAATACCACCCTAATAAAAAATAGATAATAAATAAGTAATAGCATTAATAACCTTAATGAAATTTAATACCACACAAACATAAAAAAAATTATCAAATTTCTTTCTTTAATACCACACACTAACCCTTCACACGCCACTTCTTCTTCATAAACACCCTACTCCCTCCTCTTTCTTCTTTTTTATAAACCCTCCAAAATATCTCAAAATTCAAAGAAAACAAAACCTCATGAAACATACAAAATTGAGTCTCAAGACAATAAAATCATAGTTTACATGAAAGGAGAACCCATTAAATTATGTATTGAGTCTTTTTTTAGCATGGAAGTCGATTCTTAAGTTTTCTCTTTTTTGAACCTCTCGACAATTTTCGACACATACAGGTCGAATTTTTGTCAATTTTCGACACCAACTTGTCGAAAAATAATATAAAAAGAAAGGTGAATTTCGACACATACATGTCGAAATTTTTGTCGTCGAAAATTGACAAAAAAATGACATGTATGTGACAAAAACTGTCGACGGATTTGGAAAAAAAACTTCAAAATCGACTTCCAAACTGAAAAAAGACATAGAAACATACTTTAATGTGTTCTCCTTTCATGCAAACTACCATTTTATTGTCTTGCGACTCCATTTCGTAAGTTGTTTGAGGTTTTGATTTTGTTAGATTTTGAGATATTTTTGGATGGTTTGTTGTGAAGAAGAAAGAGGAGGGGTTGTGAGGATGGAGAGGGGTGTGAGAGGTTTTGTGTCTTTACTATTGAAAAAAGAAAATGAAATTTTTAATGTTTGTGTTATATTAATTTTCGTTAAGGGTATTTGTGTCATTACCTATTTGTTATCTAATTCTTATTTTCGTGCTATCAAAGTAAGAAAAAAACATTGATTTGTTTTAGCCGCCCCTATTGCTATGAAATTATGGAGTAACAATATATTTGTTTTCATATATATATGGCGCAACTCACACTAGTAAAAAATGTAGTTGTATTGTTCAAATGCATGTTACATTGTCAATAAGAGTTTCGCCCTCTTCTTTAGATACACATATAGGGGTTTTTGTTTTCTAACTATATGTTTGCATAATAAAGAATCCGCTATTATGGTGGTATGTGTCTTGTTATAACTATATTTTGTCGAATAGAAAAATCCGCTATTATATTTGTTTCTTGTGTATGATCTACTGGGAACCCGAGAAAAGCGTAAAAAAATTCATATAAAACTTATAGTTTAGAATTTGTATATGATATGTTATTCATCGAATAATTTGGTAGAAGCTCGGAAGAAACGAAATACACGATATAATAATTTTCTTCAATTGTCTTGGTAGCATCAATGTTTGTTTGAGGGTCCTGGATACTTGCAGTTGCCATAAGCTGCACAAAAAATAATCATTCAACTGAAATTAATTATTTATAATAGTACTATTAATTAAACCTTAATCAAGAATAATATTTTTATAGTTCATGAGCTTGTGAGATCGATCGAGAGAGAATTCTTACAAGGATTAACCGACGTAACGTCGCCAATTTGCCACTTGCATGCGGCCGTAGATTGGAAGTAGGAATTGAGAGCATAAGATGCATGCGCTTGCACGGTGTTAGGGTCGAAACACGCACCGCCTGGTTGGATCGGTCCACAGTCGATTTTACTGCAAGCAAAGTCTATAAATTGTTGCAATTGATCGACTGGAGCGCCTGGCTTCGCTATACACCAGTAGTCGGACTACAAATTATTTCCATAAATCCCAAGTAAATAAAAAATTTAATGTAATCAATCAAGAATTAATGTTTTCGAAGTGTTAAAGAAAATATAAAGAAAATCGACTTACTATCTTCTGACCAATCGATGCTTGGGAGTTTTCATCGTAAGCGTCTGCAACAACCAACGAAAGACAAATAATAAGAAACAAAGATAAACTTGTTTTATCCATATATACTTTGTTTGCGATAATTATACGTTGATTTTGTTGTGTTCTATGTCATATATTTTTTTTTTTGATATGTTTATTCACTTTAAATAACTGGTTGGCAATTAAAATCAGCACAAAAACAATTATACTAAGTACTTGATAAAATCATGAATAATTGATTGGCAGTTTAAACCAGCAAAAACCAATTATAACATATACTCGAAAATTAATTTGTACTAATTTATATCATCGGATCTTGATTTTTTTATATATAAGTACTAATTATCTTAATTGTTTTTTTTTTTTTATCAAAAATATAAATATAAGTCTTCAATCGAATTCTCATGTGTAGGCCAATACTTGGCCTACAGCCAAGACCAGGGGCGGAACCAGAATGAAAATGTAGGGGGGGCTAATTAAAATTTTGGGGTTCGGGGCAGCGCCCCGAAAAAAAAATTAGGTTCACAAAACATTGCAAAAAATAAGTTTATATTACTAATTTTTAATTAAAATATCATATATATTATAATTATATCATATTTTAATCATCACAGAAAATTCTAAATTAATTCAAATTATTTTAATAATGTATTGCACTTAATATTTCACGAATTCATGGCACGATCTCAAGGCATTAATAAAAAAAATTCAAAAATAAGTAATATTCATAAATTGTATTTAAAATAATACAAGTTTTAAGCATCTTATTTTATATTTTATATGAAATATGATATATTTATCTATAATTTATATAAGATTACAGAGAAGAAAAAAAAATAATGGGTTAAAACACATATTTACAAAAACTTTGGAGGGCTAAAAGTAATATTAAAAAAATACAATACCAAATACCTAAAAAAAAATCTTGGGGGGTCAACACCCCTCCCTAGCCCCTTGCAAGTACCGCCACTGGCCAAGACCCCAATGCAGGGTACTAGACCTGCAAAAAAAATGAAAAAGAAAATTAAAGAAAAATCAACGGTATTTTAGGTGGTGGTTAAACAACATAATATTAGGAAAAATGTTAATCGATGGATTTTATACGGAAAAAAAAAACTCCATAAACGTAGAGAGAAAAGCTTGAGAAGAGAGATGAATAAGAGAGAAACAAATTGTTTTACTAATGAACGAGTTAGTTACAAGTTACAACGGCTACTTGAAGCAACTAATTTATATATGTTATTTTACACGGGTATCTTATATCTTATATATAAAAGAAAGAAACGTTGGTAACCCTAAAAAACTATAATGGTATTTTTGTAATTATTTATTTTTAATATTTTTTCTCTACTAAATTCTAATTATAACTTTTAATAATTATCAAAATTAAAACTAACCCGTGAAGAATCCTACCCTATTAATAGCCTATTGGTACTTATGTAATTATTTATTTTTAATATTTTTTCTCTAGTAATTTTTTAACTATAATTTTCAACAATTGTTAATCTCCTAATCTTAGTCTACTTATTTGTATTATAAATCTTAATATGTAAGATTTAAAAAAACTAATATTATATAAAATATGAATAATACTACATTATTAAATTTTACTATGTTAGTATACTATATTTTCTTGTTATGTATTAAAATGATTATTTTTTTTTCACTTTTTAAATAATATCCCGTGCATCGCACGGGGAAAAATGCTAGTTAGGTATAAATAATAAAAGAGCTAGCTAGGAAATAAACTAAAAGTATACCACGCTTTATGTATAAGAGAAACACGTTTTCTTTTTATATTATTCTTATATTATTATAACATGATTTAAATAAATAAAAAATAATGTATAAAAACAAAAATTAAATTAAAAAAATAAATAAATAAGGCTTGCAAGCCGGCTCTTGAACTCACGAACAACTAAAAAAGAGCTCGAGTTTGACTCGTCAGAAAGCTCGAGCTCGAAAAACTCGAGTTCGAGTTCGAGCCGGCTCATCGAGCTCACGAGCGGCTCAGCTCGCTTAGCACCCCTACCTCCAAACCAACTTACAACCACCGGAGTCAAATATAGATTTAGATTCATAACCTTGATGAAGATCTATGCAAACCTCATCATGCAAATCTCCATTTAGAAAGAGGCATTGGTTACATCAAATTGATGTAATTCCGATTTGTGTATTGCATCTAAAATTTGAAGCTTTAATCCATAAGTGGTTTTTTTTAGCAGCTTATCTATAATTTGAAGGCTTTGTTTCAGCTGAAAAGTTCATTGTGAATGCTAGAAAAAGATTCGGAAAGTTGTTGATAGCCAAGCACAGTAGAGCACAAACATAGCAACAATTAGAATCGGAAAAAATGTTGTAAATTGGTTCATAAATTTTTCAGTCGCAATTTTCCCTAAATTTGGATCAACTATTCGTGGATTGATTGACTTTACCCGACAATCAATATGCTTCCGAAACCGGGAATTTTGTCGCTAATCAACCAATATATTAACATAAGCGGATTTTTATTCGTTCCACACTTTCCTCGAGCTTGTGCACATATATGTATGCATGCGTGTGTGTATATATATATATATATATATATATATATATATATAGAGAGAGAGAGAGAGAGAGAGAGAGAGAGAGAGAGAGAGAGAGAGAGAGAGAGGAACAGAGTAGTTTGTAGTTTGTGTGTGCCGAATGCACTATAAAGCTACGGATAGAGAGATAAAAAGATTGTGATGAAGAAACACTTTATAATTAACATTGAAGAACTTCATTTGGTAGAGAAAATTCATTACATACATGAATCCAAACCTGACATAAATATATTTATATATAGTCTCAAGACTTGCAATAATTTATATCTAGACAAAGTTTTAATTAATATAAGGAGGCAAGTATCTCCAAAAGAGAGGCAGCAAATTGCATTTGAGTATCCTCGTCGATAGTCAAGAATAGAGGAACATGTACAAATAGTGATTTGATTCCGTTCTGCTCCGCGAAACGCAACGAGTGATAGTACACGTAATTGCACACGAATCGACCCGCGTCTTCCGACCTCATTACTTGGTATCCCATCTTCAAAAGCGACTCTGTAATATGCTCGACTGGAAGGCAACTCTGCACGTAAAGTTTCAAACTATAAATCGACAAACGTATTAATGTATGTTCGGCACGTCTATAAAATATCCGTAAACAACTATACCTCACGAATTCGGGAGATGCCACCGTCAGTAGGAACAATAGGAACTCTCTGCAATGAAAAACAAAATGTACATAATATTGTAAATCTTCTATTATAAGAACGGTCAAACAAAATCGAGCGACGACAATTTAAAGCCAATTTAAACCTGAGGTTTCCATCCCATCTCATCGGGGCAACGAAATGTAGCTTCGTTGACAGCTTGATGCTCAAGAGCAAATTTTGTTGCGCCACTATTCACCCCAAAATGAACCTGAAAAATACAAATTAGGAACAAATATCACAATTAAAGCCCGATGTTTTCAAAAAAAATGAGGAAAGGGTAAACGAGCAAAAACGGACCCAAATAACGGGCCCGGAATCCGGCACGTTAGAATCCCTGATGACAGCGGATTGGAGTGTTTGGTACAGGGGAACAAGTGCTCCGTGCCCTGCGGTTTCAAGAATCGTGCAACTACCGATAATCAGCCCTTTCGGCAGGCCCCTTTTGTTCATATAGGATTGGAGATTAGTAACGATTTTCTCGGTAGGATTTTCCGAAACTCCATGGAATCTTTTGAACCCTGTCACATGGATTGTTACTCCTGGAGTTGGCCCTTCAGACCCCATTCAGACACACACAATCCAAATGAAACGATGCAGCACAAATCTCAAAGTTTCGAAAATTTTCGAAAAAAAAATTAGGGAATAAAGCACACAACCTGAAAGCAAGAAAAAAAGAAAAAAACTATGATCAAGCACTCAAAGTAGTTAAATCACTTAAAAATATAAAAAAAAGATTTCATATTATTACCAAATAACCAAAGGCATGTTAGTCTAAGGTTTTTTCAGCCAATAAAATTTATTACATGTCCGGGAAATCCGCATGAATAGAATGTTCGCAAAGATGAACAGAAACTGGTTCTTGATTAATAATCAAAAAACCCATTCTTGATTCAACACAAAAAAAAACCCATATGAAATTCAATACTGAAACTAAAAACCCATGTGAAATTCAATACTGAAACTAAAAACCCATGTGAAATTCGACGGAGATAACAAAGAAAAACAACAACTAATAAATACCCAAATAAAAAAAAAAAATTGGATCATGAAATGAAGAACACGTACAGATTATTACCGCAAAATTTGAAGTAAAGACTGAATTTTTATTTTTTGTTGTGGAATGGTGTGTTCACTCGGTGGGATTGCTCGAAAGGAAGAGTTAAAATGGGGGAGATGGGACAACCACCAGTCTTATCTACAATATTAATTAGTTTATTTATTATTATTATTATTATTTTTTATTTTATTTTTGGTTTTGGCTAGGCTAAAACTGGTTGAGATTTCTTTTATAAACTGAAATGTTAAATGTTGTTTTGATTTCGAACCTGATTTTGACATATTTTTATTTTGATTTTGGTAAAATTCGAAACACGAAAACTATAGTCATTCGCGTTAGTTTTTTAATCCAACTTAAATCTGCTAAATTGGATGTCGTGTGACAAAGTTATGCATGAATGAGTCACATTTTGAATTTTAAATACCTCAATACATCAAAGTTGTGGCATTGATTCATGTATATCTTTCTCGTCCCACATCCAATTTTGATGATTCAAGTTGGATTAGAAAACTAACTCAGAATACTACAAATTCTATTTTTCGGATTTTGCAAAATTTGAAATTAAAAACAATCAAAATTACGTTTGAAATCGTAACGGCACTATTAAAGCTCGAACGACATTTATCACATTTTTTTATAAATGATTAGATTGGACTTTTTAATTTTATTACCGGATGTGATATATCTCTCTCTCTCTTCTCTCTCTCTCTAACTAGGGAGTCGCGGGAGTAATCATATGGTTTTGGAGGGGAAAGAAAGGAAAAAATATATAAATCAAGAACGTGGGTTGTGGTGGGTCAATTGTTTTTTGATAATTGATAAACAAGATTGGTATTACATAATAATAATTATGATAATGTAGTTTTACATATTTTATTATATATGAGTAATTATTGTGCCATGACTGAAAATGTTAATGAACCTTTCTCTTTTATCTATAAATAAAGAAAAATGTTATTTTAAGATTGCAAGCACAACCAATCATGCTCTAAAATAAATTAATAGTAGAAACTAGAAAATAAGCATCCTTTAAAGTCTTACAGTGTATTCAGTATATAGCAATTTGTTTTCGATCTACTCCCGAGGCTCTACCACGGATAATTGGTAACTCGACTAGGATAGGCTAATAATCTCAACCTCAATAGCACACCCTTGGGAATCGAGCATTAGTCGGACACCATGCTCTATCAATTATCTTACTGTCAATTGGCGATGGAGAAGACGCAAACTGTTGGAAAATTGAGGTGTTTACCTCAAATGTGGAAAATATTGAAGTATAAAATTATGGGAAACAAAATCTACTCTTCGAGTAGATAATTGTAGTGTGTTTAAATGCTCAAATCCAATATGGGATGAATGAGAAATAAATGCACAAAGTAAAGTACTTCAATGAGCTAAAGTAAGCTCAAAGGGCTTGGTGGGAGGTGAAAAGTCACTTGTCCCACATCACGAAAAAAGCATTAATGAGAACACTTTAAATAGTGTCAAATGGATAGCTAGAGGTATAATCAAGTGAGGGATCAAGTACCAAGCCACACGCGCGCCGCCGCCGCCCGCCCGGACCGAGCCCGAGCCCGAGCCCGAGCCCGAGCCCGTGCCCGTGCGCGCGCGCGAAGCATAAGCATATTCGCTGCATAATATCTTTCTTTCGTGTCAATAAAAGTCCAAAACGTCTTTTCGTTCGTTGTGTTCCAGCAGTTGTTGTGCTGCTCTGTTGGAACTGTAAGTCGTTGTATCTTGGGAGACAATTGCCGAAACCGAAGCACTGTTGCGGGGCAATTTTGTCTTAAGGAGAGAGAACAAAGTTCTTGCCTCGACTTTTCATTGTTTATCAATTCTTTCTTCAAAATTCCTATCTCCAAAACCACTACAAATAACAATCTTAAGACAAAATTGATTTATCTGCTCTCTGCTTTCGAGATGGAAAATCAAGGAAACGAAAATGTTGATGCCGCCGCCGCTGCTGCTGCTGCCGCTGCCGTTCCTAATGTTGCTATCACTTCTGCTACTGCAACAATTCCAATGGCTCTTCCGATCCACAACTCTGCCCCTGCTCATGGAGAAAGACCGGAAAAATTTACCGGTGTTGAATTCAAAAGGTGTTCGAGGCCGATAAGTTTGTGTTGACCAAGAATGGTCTGTTTGTAGGCAAAGGGTACCTCGAGAAAGGGCTCTTCAAAATGAATGTAATGGCTGTGAAGCGTACTATGAATAAAATAAATGCTTCTTCTTACTTGCTTGAGTGTTCTAATTTATGGCATGATAGATTAGGACATGTGAATTTAAGTACATTACAAAGGCTAGTTAATTTGGACTTATTGCCTAAAATGGAAATAAATTCACAAAATAAATGTGAAACTTGTGTTGAGGCAAAAATGGCCAAAGCACCGTTCCATAAAGTGGAAAGAAGTACAGCACCTCTAGAATTAATTCATACGGACATTTGTGACTTGAAATTTGTGCAAACTAGAGGGGGAAAAAAATATTTCATAACATTTATTGATGATTGCACAAGGTACTGTTACGTATATCTACTTAACAGTAAAGATGAGGCTTTTGAAGTATTTAAAACTTACAAAAGTGAGGTAGAGAATCAACTTGGTAAAAAGATCAAAATGATTCGAAGTGATAGAGGAGGAGAATATGTTGCTCCATTTGAAGAATTTTGTGCCTCTAATGGTATAATTCATCAAACAACAGCACCATATTCACCGCAATCTAATGGAGTTGCCGAGCGAAAAAATCGAACTCTTAAGGAGATGATGAATGCAATGCTAATTAGCTCGGGTTTACCCCAAAATATGTGGGGGGAAGCCATACTCTCGGCAAATTACATCTTAAATAAGATTCCCCATAAAAAGATGGATAAAACTCCATATGAACTATGGAAGGGTCGAAAACCATCTTATAAATACGTCAAAGTGTGGGGGTGTTTGGCTAAGGTTGAAGTACCTAAACCAAAACAAGTCAAAATTGGACCCAAGACTGTTGACTGCATTTACATTGGACATGCAAATAACAGTAGTGCCTATAGATTTATAGTGCATAAGTCTGAAATTCCCGACTTAAATCGTGGAATGACAATTGAATCAAGGAATGCAATATTCTTTGAACACATTTTTCCGTGCAAGGAAATAGTTGAAGGAAGTTCAAAAAAGAGAACTCACGAAGCTACAAGTGCTCCAACTCAAGATGGAGATGAACCGAGACGTAGCAAGCGAGCCAAAGTCTCTAAGACATTTGGTCCCGACTTTCTAACTTTTATGTTGGAAAATGAACCAAGGAATATTCAAGAGGCATTGTCTAGTCCCGATGCACCATTATGGAAAGAAGCCATAAGAAGTGAGATCGATTCCATTATGCAAAATCATACTTGGGAACTAGTAGATCTTCCACCGGGGTGCAAACCTTTAGGATGCAAGTGGATCCTTAAAAGGAAATACAAGGCCGATGGGTCAATTGATAAATTCAAGGCTAGATTAGTAGCTAAAGGATTTAGACAACAAGAAGGATATGACTTCTTTGACACGTATTCGCCTGTGACAAGAATCACTTCAATACGTGTGCTCATTGCTATTGCAGCATTGAACAACCTTGAGATACATCAAATGGATGTTAAAACGGCATTCTTGAATGGTGACCTCGATGAGGAAATATACATGGAACAACCCGAAGGGTTTGTGGCTCCCGGCCAAGAGAAAAAGGTGTGTAAACTTGTAAAGTCATTATATGGTCTCAAACAAGCACCTAAACAATGGCATGAAAAATTTGATAGAACTATGCTATCAAATGGTTTCAAAATAAATGAATGTGATAAATGCATCTACATTAAAGGTTCAACAAACGATTTTGTAATTGTTTGCTTATATGTAGATGACATGTTAATTATGGGCAGCAGTCACGATATTATCGTGAAAACAAAGAACATGTTAAAAAATAATTTTGACATGAAGGATATGGGCCTAGCCGATGTTATCTTGGGAATCAAGATAGCTAGGACACCAAATGGAATTGTCTTAACACAATCTCATTATGTTGAAACTGTGCTTAAGAAATTCGATGCATTTGAGAGTTCTCCTGCAAAAACACCAGTGGACTTGACTTTACATCTAGCCAAGAATCAAGGAGATGCTGTCTCTCAAATTAAATATGCAAAGATCATAGGGAGTCTAATGTATTTAACTAATTGTACTCGTCCCGATCTTGCATACGCCGTGAACAAATTAAGTCGATTCACGAGCAATCCAAGTGAAGATCATTGGAAAGCAATCAATAGAGTACTTAGATACTTAAAGCATACCATAAACCTTGGATTGCATTATACAAGATATCCGGCTGTGCTAGAGGGCTATAGTGACGCAAACTGGATATCGGATACGAACGACTCCAAATCCACGAGTGGATATGTATTCATGATTGGTGGGGGAGCCGTTTCATGGAAATCTTCTAAACAAACGTGTATAGCGAGATCCACAATGGAATCCGAATTCATAGCTTTAGATAAAGCCGGTGAAGAAGCCGAGTGGCTTCGTAATTTCTTAGAAGATATTCCTTGTTGGTCGAAACCTGTGCCAGCAGTAATGATTCATTGTGATAATTTATCTGCAATAGCAAGGGCTCGAAACACAATGTACAATGGTAAGTCTAGACATATCCGTCGAAGACACAACACCATAAGGCAATTGATCTCTAATGGAATTATCTCAGTTGACTTTACGAAGTCAAAAGATAATTTGGCCGATCCTTTGACGAAAGGAATCAATAGAGATCAAATGTGCAAGCTAGTGATGGGAATGGGTCTAAAAACCCACAAATAAAAGAAAATCCATGATGGTAACCCAACCTTGTAGATTGGAGATCCCAAAATCTTGGTTCAATGGGCAAACTAAGTTATGGAAATTCAAATTGTGCACTTGGAAAATTATTCCTACCATTCCCTAAACCAAGTGCTACCTGTCGAGTGTGGTAAGGGTAAGTCAAGTGACTTTTAATGATTCCTATGACCTTTTAAGGTGGAATATGACAGGATATTCTTTTAAGGAGATCACCTATGTAAGTGTGAAGTATAGGGCCGCTCCGATGAAACACTTATGAATCCAAGAGTGGTCCACGGCCGAAATGGACAACACGTGAGAACAAAAGACGTTAGAAATGT